ACTGTACAACAATACAATCATATTCTATTTGTAAACAGGTAGAAGCCACTTGACTTGTTGCATCTTCAGACACCGTTAGGATCAAGGCAATGAAATGTGGACGACTTTTGCACTGTTAAAATATTCTCTTCAACCAAAACAAGATTTTTAAAGTTTATCTTCTGTCCTTTTTTTTCCCAAAACACTTTGTGGCAATGACTTTAAAAGAAAAATTAATGCAAGCATTATTTTGCATTTTCTAGGACATTTAAAACATTTTGTTGAGACACGTGGGGGAACAGAAGGCGCCTCTCGGTGGCCGTGTGAGAGGCTACAGTATGCATAGATACAGACTCGCCTTTCTCTTGGTTTGTAGTCTGACGACAGAACATTTTCCACCAACAGTCACACACACACACACACACACTCACTAACACTCCCCACTTTTGAGTTTTACATCAGTGGAGTGGAGGGGAGAGGGAGCATCCTTCACCCCTCCACACTAGGACCCCCCCCCTCAAAAAAAGACAGCATATTGAAAGCAGTGTGTTGAGCTTCTCCAGCTTAAAGCAGTTATTTGGCAGAGAAAAAAACCAAAACGTACAGACCTATACATAGTTTTCAGTGCTAGAAGTTGGATTTTCCTTTCCTACAAGGAGTAGTAGTTTTTTTTTTTATTCAACTACAGGGGGGGGGGGGGGGGACGGGCTTGGTTTTCTGGGCAACAACCGCTGGTATTTAGCAGACAAAGAGGAATAGTTCAAATAACCAACGCCATGGCCAGAACACTGATCCGAATTCCCAGAGTTACAAAGCATCGTCTTCATCCTCAATAAGAGTTTACATTTTTTTGTTGTTTTTCTGTTTTATAGATTTTTTTTTCAAGTTTATTTCTTTTTAAATTTTTTGTGTATTTTTTTTATTTTATTCCATCTTCTCTTTAAAATGAAGAATGAACACACATTCCGCCTCCTAAGTCTTGTAAACAAGAGGTTGCAGTGTGGCACCTCCAAAGCATTGAAAGCCTATTCTGAAAGTGCTGTTCCCCCCCCCTCCCCGCCCACTAGTTGCTGTGGTGGGCGGGGCCTGCTAGTCCCAGCTGCGGCTACAGTTCTTTGCACTGCAGAGCTCAATGTTCTTTAGTTTTAAAACAAAATTGGTGCAATACTTTTTAATGTCACTATCACATGTAATCCTCCTAAGTCAGCTTTTAGTCATCTTTAACTATCTGTTGATCTTGAACTCCACGACAACGCAGTAAGGTAGGCGTGCCAAGGCAGAGAGGAGCACACACATACTTCACACACACATACACACACACAAAGTACTTCCACGGAGCCACACATACACAGAGAGAGAGAGTAAGGACCTCAATGAGTAAACAGCTACACTGGAAAAACTGGCTGCTCCCTCTATATTGCAGATTATATATACTGAGAAAAAAAACACATTCAGTGCAAAGTTAAAAAAGCTCATACTCCAACATTGTCAGCAAACAAATGCAAAAAAAAAAAAAAAAAAATTAAATCCCATCTGAAAGAGCACTACCTGGAAGCAAATATCCATCCGTTCACATTATGGAATTGGCCTGGCATGATTCAAGTATTCCGACTGATATGTTTTTGGGCTAAAACAAAGTGGACATATGTGCAGAGAGAAACGTAACTTGTCTTCCACAGGGGAAACCCCGTTTTGTTGAATATCTTGTAAGTGAGAAAGAGTCCAACTAGTGCCTTTGCATTCACTTTTTTTTTTTTTTTTCCATTTTCTTCTGCTGATTATTAACGATTTTCTACTGACCCTTCCTCCAGCCTATTTGATTGGCAGGCAGCTCACATGGAGTCCCCGCCCCCTGTCAGGTGATCCACTGGGAGGAAGGAGCTGATTGGAGAAGGGCTGCTGATCCTCCCTACCTCGGTGCCACTGGAGCTCCCCCACAGGCTACTGGAATAGTTGGGCCCGCCCCACAGGGAGGAGCTATGGAGGTCGCTGCTGTTCCACTGGTTGGGTTCAGGAGCACGGCTGGGAAAGGGGTGAGACTGATCCATTCTGCTCTGGGAGGAGCCGATGGCCTGCCAGCCAGAGGAGGGAGTGGCCAGTGACTGCCCTTGTGCAAAGAAACGGCTGATTTCCTCCTCACTGGCAAACTCAGCCAGGATAGTAGTGTTCCCCAAAACACACCTGCAGGGAGACAACAGGTGAAAGTCTGAGTGTTTGTCTGCCATCTACTCACCAGGTTACTCAGAAATTAACCGGGACATGAGTACATGCAATGTAGAGTCCTGGTTACTATAAGTCTGTGTTTACATGCAGCAGGTCAACAGATTTACCACAGATCCCCTTCTGGGAGCACTACTGGCATATTTCAGTGGCTGTGTTTGGGGCACCGTGATGGTACTGTTTGTTGTGCGCATGTACGGCACAGGGTTTCCTCACTGTACGGCAGTGTCTCGGTGTCAGAACCACAGATGTATTTTCCCCCTTTGCCTTTAACACGCTCACATTGCAAAAAGCTGATTAAAAACCCCTTTACCTGTGTACACGGTGTTTCCCATGAGAAATCCAGCTGTGAAAATCTGACTTGTATCATCCCCTACACTGATTACAGTAACTGGGGTTCTTGTTTAGAAGACCTTTGAGAACTCATCCCAGTGACAAGACAAGGCCATCACAGAGCATGCAACACATCAGCTGTGTAAATCTGAATACCTATTCAACTATTAACTGATGAATATCATTTGTGTACAGGAGATATGAATAACGTTAAGATGATTAATGATATCAGTCTTACAAAAAGCAGATGAGACTGAATAGATTACTGAAAAAGCCATTAAATGAGTTATTTATACAGAACATCTAATTAAACAGGAACAGAACTGAGATATAGAGTGTATGCATGTGTGTCTGGTGCGCTTACATGTGCAGGCTCTTCTGGGCCTTGGCGGCCTCGTCCTTGGAGCTGTAGCATACCACGGCGTTGCCGTGCGGCAGGTTGAGGTGGAATGTGATCAGCGGGCCGTGCTGCATGCACAGGGTCCTCAGGGTTGAGCCGTCAATCTGTGAAACACACAGAGCATGCAAGAAAAAAAAAACAAATTTTTCAGCCTCCTAAAATCAGACTCTCAAATCACTTAATATTTGCCGTCAGTAACAACAGGGCAGATCAAGCGTACAAGTACCTGAGGTGTGAGATTCTTCAGAACAAGCCACTGGGATCTCCCTGAGCTGCTGCTGTCACCCCAGCTGGAACCTGTCAATACACACAGGGCAAAACCACAGTCAGCCAAGGTAACGAGCATTGTAGGTATAAAAAAGTGAACCAAGGGTTCAGGTCAGAGGGGTCCTCTGCATTACTACACGAGTCAAACAACGGTCTCATACTTGGATATCCAACTATGAGAATTCAAAGTGGACAGTGCCATGAGTGTAAAACAATTAATTAACTCCAAAAGCCCGAACAATCCATTTTCCAGCTACTCAGATGTAAATATTACTACCAGTAGTCCTACAGTATGTATGTGCCTGTGCTCCTACCAGGTGTGAATCTGGACTCAGAGGAGCCCCATCCCCCCAACCTCAGGGCAGAGCTGTCCCAGCCGGAGGAGGCAGGGCTGGGCTTCTGGCTGGTGAGGCCGGGTGGTGGTCTGGAGGGGGGCGCCACAGACAGCGTCTTGGGAGGCAGGGGGACCTTCCACAGCTCATGGGCGAGGGAGGAGTTGGACACAGAACCGCCACCAGGAGACCATTTTGACTCACTGGGTCTGGCTGCAGGCAGAGATGAGAGCAAAACTGAAAGCTCTGATTTTATTTAGGTGATGTCAACATCTTCTCCCTCTATTTGAAATCTGTTAAAATGGTTTGGTTTGAGAGGTAAATGAGGGGGCAAACAGATCTGTATACCTGAAGTGCTTTGTGCTGTACTGGTGAGGGAACCACTGTGGCTGGAGGCACGAATGGATGACCAGGCACTGTTAGAAGGCATCGTGGTGTTCAGTGATGAGGATGGCCCTGGGAATAACAAAGAGAAGGGGTAGTGCCTTAAGTGTTGAGGCTGTTGTATCCCCAGTATTGCATAGAAATGGAATGTTAAGGGCCGACCTGCAGATGTCGCCATATTTACTGTGTCAAATGCTTCAAAACACCCGTTTCATCCATCGCTACTATGACCTACCATTGTTCCTGTCCCTGAGGTGGTCTGTGTCACGGACGGTGTTGATGGAGAGGTTGTTGATGACACTGCCAGGGGTCACATAGGGGTCAGTCTCAGGGTCAATGTTGGGATAACCTTTCCAAGGCTCCCCTGGCCGGAACTCTGCAGACACACACACACAGCAGTTAGCAGCTTTTACTGGCACTTTTTTCATGTATTTGTGTTTGTGAAAGCAGGTGTACCTGGGGGCCAGGTGACAGTGTTTCCATGGGGTGGGGGGGAGTTGGCACGGGGTGGCCAGCCATCACCCACCGAGCCCATTGACTGGCCAGGAGGACTCAGGGGAGATGGGCCAGGAGACAAGAAGTCGTAGAAGGGAGAGTCCTCCAGACGCAGCCCAGACAACATAGCACCTGTGGGAGAAACACACACCCACATCAGGACCAAAATCACAGAAACAAGGAGCCACTGGTGTGGTTCCACTACTGTATGTGAGGTTCCAACAAGTTCACACCACTGCCCCAAAAGGATCATCTGCCTTTTTACCAGGTTTGCTGTTCTGCTCCAGAGGGTCAGCAGCCCAGATTTTCTTTAGTCTGGACTGGGGCGGCTCTTTGTAGCTCACAGCTCCACCACCACTACCACCACCAACACCCATGTCCAGGGTTACATTCAGGTTAGAGTTCAAGCCTGATGGGAGGGATGGAGAATAAAGGTAAACAAAAGAGAAACATTTCAGTTGCTAACCATTTAAATAACAGGAAGTGACTAAACTAAAGGTCATTTATTCTAAAACATTAACGTTTATATTTGACAGGAAAACATCTACACCTAAATGTTTTCTCATTGAAATTTGCAGGAATATAGCAATTAAATGTTTAAATATGACTGTTAGAAGCCAACATACTTAAAGGGAAGTTGTTGAAGGATCCAAGAGCGGCAGCATCCTTCTGTATCTCAGGGGTATTGTGGGACAAGTAGTTATCCAGGTACGGTTTGTGGGGTGGAACCTGTTTCAGCAAGGAGGGATCCAGGTGCCGTGGCGGTTGCATCACTGATGGAGATGAACCAATGGGACGCAACTGAGGACAGGAAGTGCAAGGATAGAGAAGTCAATACCACAAAGACACTATGCTGTTTCATAATTTAGGCTGTGGGTGTAATGAAGCAAGATTCAGAAAGATTTGTCATCACACACGCACCTGTTCAGTCTGTCGTCCCACAGTCATGACTCTCTGGCTCTGAGCCTTCTGCTGCTGCTGCTGCTGCTGTTGCTGTAGGAGAAGACGCTACAGAAAAACAACAGGGTACAAATAAGTGTAAATTAAAGCTATAGTCTCTTTTCTGTTCACAGAAACAAACCTACTGTCACCTACGTTAAAGGTACAATGAGATATGCACCTTTTAATTCTCTAATACAGCTTCACTGGTCAAAACTATGAATATGAAAACATGCTACATTCTGACAGGAGTAAACGTCCTTGTTTCTATCACTCTACCTGTAACTGGTTGATCTGGTTGAGCTGTGACAGCTGGTTGAGCTGAGAGAGTTGGTTGAGCACAGCCACCTGCTGAGGGCCAAACAGAGGGCTCAGACCTCCGTTACCTCCAGGGTACTTCAACAGGGATGGAGGGACCTGAACACACACAGACATTTAAACTGCTACCGAGACTTGGAAAGCTCTGGAGCCTGCACAGTAAAGAGCAGTAGACACAATGCCAGGTGGTATGTGGCGTGCTTTTGTGTGCGTGCGCTACCTGAGAGGGCAGGATGGGTGGAGGCACTTGGTTACGAAGGCTGGGTTGGGGGGGGATCTGGGGGCCGCCTCGGCCCTGTGCTACGCTGCTGCCACCCAACACAGGGTTTACATTCTGAACAGGGAAGACACATTGTTGTAATGATCAAACGATGTGCAACAAACAAATGGAAAAGTTGGTTTTGAGATCCAAAACCCCGTGGTGGTGACTGCGTGGACACAAGCTGTTCGATCAACTCGCTGGCGAGTGCAATCTTAAATGAAATGTCTGATAAAAGTGGGAACTGACAAACAATTTTACCAGATAATCTGCTACAATACCGTGTGTGTGTGTAAGTAATATGCAGGCAAAACGACTTATTTCTTGATATGCACATTATGTGACAGTTTTTATTGTTAGTGTCTTAGTATTTGAAGAGAACGTCGATAAGTCCTGAAGACAAAATCTTCTTCATCCTTCCACACTCACCTGCCGAGCTGACCCAGGACTAGAGTGGGCAGGAGACGACCCAGAGTCGAGACAGTGGATAGGCTGAGCAGAATGGGAAGGGGAAAATCTCATGCTTTGATTGGAGGAGACCTCATCAGAAGCTGGGCTATCATAAGCAGAGGGGCAAACAGACAGCTGCAGAAGCAAGGCCAGGTGCGCGGCAGATGGACGGCAAGCACAGAGGGACAGGAAGCACATCGGCAGCCAGAAAAACGCAAGAGAGGGAAGGAGAAAAGAAGGAAAAGAGTTAATTTTGCAGAGAGGGAAACGGACGGGGACAGAGCAAGTAATGTGAGGGTAGAGGAAAAAGCAGGTGTGAAAGACAAAAAGGAGTAAGATGGGATGGGCTGGAGAGAAAGGGAGCAAAGTAGAAAAAGAGAAGGCGGCGCCAGAGGACAGGAATCAAAAAGCAAAGCTAAGCAAGACCAGACCAACTCACTGCAGGCTGGTACAGGACCATGAAAGTCATTCCTGCCCAATTACAAATAAAATGCGGCACTACCAACTGTTGTTACAATTAAGCATGCAGGTGGCAGGTGTGCATATTTAATGTACTTGTGTGGATCCTGCAGACTAAAAAATGATCTGTAAGGATGAGACACTACAATGTGCAAACGCCAAGTGTCAAATTCAACATCCCTCAATAATAACCTGCACATCAGTGGCAGTTCTTTAGAACCACCACTGTGGGGCACAGCAGGGCCAAGAGAGCTCTACCCAGCCAGACAAGACTGTCCTCCACACCCTCCATGACCACCACAATCTCAGACAGACTGACTAAACCTTAAGCATTTTCTTTGCCACACAGGAAAACAGTGCTGCTGCGAACCTTGTCATAGTAAGGGCTGCGATCCATGACAGACTCCTTATGGAGCTGGTGTCGAGACCCAGGGTTCTTCCCCATTACTCCATTGAAGTCTCCCATATTGCCCATGTCCATACGCTTGTCCTGCACCATCCCTGCTCCTGTCTTCAAGGAGTCTTCAGGACAGTCTCTCTGCAATGGGAAAGACAAGCACATTAAGCTGGATACAACCAAGATTTCTGTCAAGGCGTCTCTTCTGATCACATGGGCATAGAAACGAGTGTATTTCATGTGCACAAAGCTTGAGACACAAATGCCAACAAACCATTTAACAAAAGATGCTTTTGCCATGTTGACAGTGTTATTGCTTCAAAGGATCCACTAAAACAACAGGGCCATTTAAAGATGCTGAATTTTAGGGCGTTTTCACTTCTTTAGTTCGTTCGCACTGGTCAGAATCAGTGGACCAGTTTGTAAACTTGGTCCGGTTTCCTTTTACACACAGAAAAATCCAAGTGAAACAAAATGCGTCACTACAAATCACATAAGAACTTTCCCTTTGCTCACTGGTTAAAGGGGTGTAGGGCAGGAAGGGGAAAATAAACACAAAGAAGATCCGCATTCTTTACCAGTGAAATCAATTTGCTCTGCAACATGAAGAACCAGTATAATCGGCATTTGCCCACAACTGCAGTAACTATTTGGGCAATAAACTAAATCAAACTGCCAACAGAATGTCAAATATGTTTCAAGAAAATATAAATGAGCGAATACCAAGCATATACAACAACATGCTGAACATTTCAGTCTGAACCACTTGGCTCAAACTTGGTCTGGATTGAGGTCGGATCACGTTCACACCACAAATGACCTGCTCACCAGTTCGTTTAGAACCGTACCAAAATCATCTCAGTGTGATAGTTTTGGTCTGCACCCAAATGAACCGCGCCAAGGAGGAAAATGAACCAGGGTTCGATCCAAACGGACTAAACAAGGCAGGTGTGAAAGTGCCCTTAAAGCAGAAGAAAGACACTGCAAAAAAAGGAAATAGTACTTACAGAAAAGTTCATACTGTTAAACTGGTTGATGAACGGCTTCATCCAGGGCTCATCCTGTTTGCTGGCTGGTTTGTTAATCTGAAACAGCAAACAAACCATTTTCAGGATGCACAAACCTTGTTTGAGCCTTTTTGCTTGTAGTTCCAGGTGTTCTGGTCATGGGACCTGGTGTCCTGTTGGCTATTGCTCCACATGCCAATCTCCACTTCTTCTTCCTGGTCCCAGCTGTTGCCCATGGACACCTCATCACCACACCATGTCTCCATGGACTTGGGACCTGGAGCTATCAAGGAGGGAAGCGGAGAAGAGGAAGCTGAAAACCAATGACTGACTGTGTACTGTATCTTCTCATCATATTTCATGCACGTCCTACAGGAAAAAAAATCTCCTCTTTATCCTGACACTGCCCATCATTTTGACACACAGTACACTCTTCAGGCACCTACCAGTCTTATGCTGGGTGCCCCATCCAGGCCCAGAATCTCTGCTGTCCCTGCTGGGTTCATCCCAGGTGGAGCTGCTGTCCATCGGCTTTCCCCATGCAGACGTTCCATTGTCCACGGTCACAGGCGGAGCAGTGGTAGGCTCCCCCCATGAGGAGGACTCCTTCTTCTGGGGGTATGGCTCTCCCCAACCTGGAGGTAAAGAGGGGGCGCACTTATTAGAACAAGGATATTCTTTCTGTAGTGTTGTCTTAAGCCTACAAGTTAAATGTCAGTAGTATGTGTGAACTACACACAATCCTGTGGTCTCAACACTGGTTCAACACTATTTCAGAAACAGTATTTGTTCAAAATATGAAGACCCAGTTTTTTTAAAACAATTTATGCTTTTCATTTTACATTTCATTACATTTGTGTAGTTCACAGATACTACTGACATTTCCCATGACCCCTCCCCTCCCTAACCCCCAGCCCTTCCTACAAGCCAATTACAGACACCCATATGTAATAACCAATAACTGTAAATGAGGATTCACACTCAATGGCAAAGAAAAAGGCTCATCTGGCCATAGCTGGAGAGAGTTGCAACATGTGGAGGCCAACATATATGCACCTTTCTTAGAATCCAACTCACATTTTCATATTTACAGTGATGAAGATTTACTTTCACCGCTAGACTCCGAGTGTTAGAAGAGAGCCTTGCTCACATCCCCGGGGAACCCCACGTCACCCAGCTTATGTAAGTGTTGTTTACTTTAACTCTTATGGGTGTGTATTTGTGTGCACGGACCCCTATACGCTTCGAATGTGAGACTGCATTCATGTGTGTGTAATGTGAGAGTTCAAAAGGCTCCTGTTACAGCTGACCATCCAGACCTGCCACTTTCTCCCTCTGGGAGATGCCAGGGATACCTCCCCATAAAAATAGGACAGATCACAGGGTGGCCTCAGGCGCCAGTGTCCCTCATGAGACTGGGCATGTACATGCACAGAACACAAAAAAACCTGCACACAGCTAACCAGACAGGCAAAGAGGTGGACACAAACTCACACATACATGTGTTTTAAGGCAGATTTGCAATACTCTCACACACAAACAGACACCAATGAATCTCAAACTGTAGCCTGCATCTTTGTGGCTGAAATGAGAAAACCAATGTGTCTAGGAATGTTTTAACAACTTATAGATTGTAGTTGTTCGTATGCACATTTAATAGCAGACTGAAAAATATACATTATCCTATTGCTACCTCAGAATCAACATTTCAGTCTTAGTTTGTTTAAAAGTATGAGCATGTTTTGTGTTCTACTTGCAACATATTCCCTCATGTATCATGCTGATTGCATGGATTTTTTTTTTTTTACCAAATTAACTAAGATGTATAGAAGTCCACAATTTAATTCTTTTCTAAATACATTAGCTGGCTAGTTCACCACACCCTCACTGGCCATCCACTGCTCCGGTTACTTTGCTAGTCTAGCAACCTTGAATAACCCTCACAGCCCCTCCCATGTCTACAGAACAACAGCTTTACTCGTTTTAGTTTTCCCCTCTTACCCTGGAACCATTCCTATTACTAAGTAACCAGACCACTTCCTCCTCTAGCACTCCTGGACTCTCTCGCTCTCAAACCCAACAAAAGCCTGTGTTTCTAAGGCAAGCCGAACTGGCGGCTAACAAAGAAAGGGAGGAGGAAAGAGGCAAATCAGGGAAGAGAAAAATCGATGCTTTTAGCATTCCAAAGGGATGACTCAACCTGTTTCACAAAAAGCCCTCAACATAAGCAACACAGTGGAGAGACAGGAAAGAATGGCTGTATGTTTATTCACCACGCTTCTGTGGAAAATGGTGCGTGTGTGCATCCAGACTTCTTGTGTTTGAATTGTCTAAATCTAAATTCTATCAAGACCTTACTTCAGATATCTTAAAACAGCATGAAGCTTGTACCTTGTTACCATTCTTAAAGCTTAGACAAGGCTTGTACTTACATGCTCGTAACAATTTAGGAACTACATCATGTCTTAGCATTTTCAGTGTACCTCATCAAACTAAGAAAGCAATGTTAATCTGCAAGCTAATGCGTCCACAGTCACTACACACAACTGTGCATTTGAGAATCTGCAAAACAAATGAATTGAGTGAAATGCCGTGATTCAGGAGTGTTGAGATAAAAGTATCTCTGCAGGCCAAAAACCACAAGATGTGTTGCAGCCCGGACAACCACATCCATGTGGGTCTAAACTATAAAGATACCAAGTGTGAGTCGGTGTGATGTTAGAATCATTATCATGTGTAAAAACATAAGTGTGCGTGTGTGTGTGTGCACATGCATGTTTTTTTCCTTATGCCTGTCTAATTTTTGTTTTCTTGGTCAAAGCTCTGTGCAGGATTATGATTGAATTTAGTAGGGACACACAGATACCACTTTTTTCAGACCAAGTACTCGCTGAAACCAAGTACCTAATGATGCAATGTTTAACTATTTATTAAAAAAAACAATTACCATAAAAGTGCAATGACTTTAGAGAGTTTCATTTGATGATTTATTTTCTGATAAGTGATTAAACAGAATATCTTATTTAACAGGAGGCCGGTCAATTTATCTGAAAACTTTGTGATAAACAGCACTGCCACCATTTCCTGCTAAATAACATGTAATTGATTGGACTGCTGTAGCCTGCTACATGGCATTCTGTAAAACTGTAGAATTTAGCCTTTTAGGGTGTAATGATTTTACAACCCCCTGACTAGAATGTCACACTTTAGCAGTGCATATGATCACAGTCAGAAATTTAAATCTTAATTTAACGAGGCTGCTCTCATGTTAAACTGGCTACTGTCTCCATCCTGTCCTCTCCTCTGGACACACACTTGTTCTGCTGCTGGTCTCAGCCTCCACATCCACAAGGATTCATCAGATTTTCATACAAAGATCTCATCTGATCAACTACATAAAGTTATGCGTTTGTTTTCTTCCTGTTCACAACAATCAACGTAACGAGCACCGCGGTGGTTTTAGCAGAATGAACGGGACCAGGAATCTTGACCGTGGGGAGAGTATAGATGTCGCATTTCTGCAAGTTTGTTGTAGTGTTCCGTTTCTTCAACAGGTGTTTGATTACACACTCCTTATTACTGTTGCACATATCAAGTTGTGACATCTGTGTAAATTGCGACATCGTGTCTGTGTGAGAAAGGAAGGGAGAGGAGCTCTCTCTCTCTCACTCACACACACACACACAGAAGCTGAGCTTATAGTCGGCTTTACTTTTGCTGTTGTCACTCATCTTAAAATATCCCAAATTTCTTCTCTGCCACCCAACAATCAGCTCAGCGAGCCTGAGGTTAATGTAATCCTGCCATTAACTGGTAGCAGTGGGACAACGAGTAATAGAGGGTGGTATTGGAGCTGATACTGGTGTCGGCATCGGTGCATCCCTATAATTCACTTTATTCAATTTTCAGTCTATGCATAAAATATACAAAACAGAACAATTTTTATATATTACATGAAAACAAACACGTGAGTGTGCGAGTGTGCCTGACTTGAAATATGTTTGCACACAAACATTTTCCAACGTACCAGAACTGCAGTTTTTGTCCTGCACAGGAGGCTGCATGGGCTGAGGAGGATGTATCAAGGCATGTGCTGGGAGGGACTGGTGCTGAGAGGATGGGCCCATGTTCTCCTGGTCTGAATGACCAGTCCTGTTCCACATGTTGACAGATTGACCACTATATTTGCCTAGGAATGAGGTTTAATTAAAAGACATCAGCCAAAAACTACAGCAGTGAACTTAAACAGAGAAGTAAGTAAACATTATAAGTCTGGAATTTCATCCGATATTGTTCAGGCACTGCACAGCTTTTTCTTGGGAAATAAAAATATATGGAATCAAGTGCTTACCAGGGTCTCCCCAAGCTGCAGTTCCATCATCGATCTCCATCCTCCGCCGTATGGACTCCGGAGAAGGCTCTTCCCACCCAGTCGCCACTTCCCCCTTCTGACCCACTGTGGTGACGGGGCCTCCGTGCCAGCCTGAGGAAAGAATAAAGATAAGGAAAAGTGAGTCATCAGTGGTGTGTTCTCCCAAGCAAATATGTTACTATACTGTTTGGTTAACAGCAAGAACTCGGTGCTGGTGCCCTATTGTCACTGTAACACATAGTGGGAACATACACTTACACAAAAATAAAACTTTGAGAAATTGATTCTGATCTAATGAATAATCTGATACCTGTGGGCTTGTTAGAACTTTGATTGCCTCTGGACATGTTGGATTCAGGACCTTTCCCCCACTCCTTGGAGGGCTTGAGATTTGGCTCACCCCAGTTCTGGGCTCCGTGGTTGTTCTTCACTGGTTCACACCAGCCTTGGCTGTTACTCTGAGGATTGGCTTTGTGGACTGAGTCAGCCCAGTTGGAGCCTGGGTTTGAAGTGCTCTGGTCTGCAGTATTTGATCCTCCACTCCCCACCCAGGTGTTGCTGCTGCTGGTGTTGGTTCGGCTTGGCTCGCTCCAACATCCAGAGCCAGACCGGTCGCTGTCGCTGTCCCAGCTCACAGAACTCGCACTTTCTTGGGGCTCCGCCCAGTGGTTGTTGGCTGCTCCTCTGGCACCATCACCACCACTACCCCAGCTTTCACTTCCATATCCACTACTGGAACCCCAGCTCTGCTGTGGTTTGGGCATGTTAGTCCAGGTATTGGACCTAAACAAAAATAATGAAGCAGATTGGTCAAAGAAATGGATAGTAGTACTCAGATGTTTGTCTTGGAAGACTGAGGGGGTACAAAGAATAATGAGAACAGTGAGTCTGCCACAGCTATTCTAAAAGTACTAGGTATCTACACTAGCATGTTGCTACTTTGTGCTATCATGCAATTGCTACTTTTAATGTTTTATCTATCTGTGTGCATTGTGTTAAGCACTTTGAATTTCCTTTGGGTATGAAAATGTACTATATAAATAAACTTGCCTTGTCTATACAATACTGGATGCAATAAGTAGGAAAAGGATCATATTTGAAAATAAATACCAGTTAGGGCTAAAAATGTAACACTGATTACCTGTCCTCTTTGTTAATGCTGTTGCTCCAGGTGTTACTGTTGGTGGTGCGCCCCTTGTAGCTAGATCCCTCTTCCCAGCCACTCTGCCCACTTCCTCCACTCGCTGGGACTTTGCTGTCCCACCCAGAGGTTTGTCTCTGATCTCCCCAGCCAGAACCTCTTGTATCAGGGCCTGAACTGCCAGGCCCACCCCCCCAACCTACAAGTAAATGAAAGGGAAATTTATTTATTTTTTTTTTTTTTTAAGACTACTTTTGTGTGTTCTACAATATGTTTAAAGTTAAGTTTTTTGTTTATAACACTAAAATGCATTCACACAAATTATGCCCATACCTCCAGAGGCCTGGGAGGGAGCTGCTGGTGTTGCTGTGCCCCAGCCAGAGGCTCCACTGCTGTGTTTTCTTTCGTCTCCTCTGGGACCTTGGCGCTGACTGTTTGGAGAACTGACATCCCAGGCAGTGTTCTGTCGTATGGGCGTCTGCCCCCATCCAGTGTTGGACAGAAGCCTCGGGTCAACATCGGCCTGGGCCAGACCTGATGTTACAGATGCAGAATGGGAACCTTTTCTACGGTTTCCCCCCTTTGACTGGCTGCTGTCTCTGTCTGAGCTGGATCGGCCTCCAGAACTCTCACTGCTTCCCTCACTTCCTCCAGAGCGACCCCAACCTCCGGTGACACCCCCCAAGCCCACACCTCCTCCCCCTGCACCTCCTATGCCCATGGCATCATCCTCCAGGCTCTTCCAGCCATTGTTGGCAGAACTTCCTTTCTGACTTCCAGCACCTGAATGGCTGTTACCTGGAACTGCTGCTCCCCACTCTCCATTTGACATCTTGTTGTTGGATGAGGAAGAGGATGATGAAGATGAGGAAGATGATGCACTGCTTCCCCAGGGGTGAGGTATCCCTGCTGGAGGGCCCATCATAGTCTGGTTCCCATTTCCTGGTGTTTGGCTTGCAGAGGTTGGGATCTGATTTGAGCCAACACCCCAGGCCAAGTTGCTCTGAGTCTGGTTTGGGTTACTGGCAGACCCCTGGTCCCAGCATGGGGCCCCAGTGTTATTGTGGTTGTTATTATTACTCTTGTAAGCAGCAGTAGAGGGAATCTGGGGGATCCCAGCCTGCATTAAGGCAGGGTTTTGTGGGTTCACAGTGTCTGCATTTGGGGGGCCCTTGTCTCCAGGGTAGGTAGTTGCGCCCCAAGGTGTACCAAAAGCCCCAGAAGCCCCCAGATCTCCTTGAGGGCACTGGGGGAGTGATAAGGGAACTCCATTGGCCAGCGGACCCTCGTTCCCTGCTCCAATGATGGCCCAGGAACAATCCCCGCTGAGCTGGGGTGAGGCGGTAGAGTTTGATGAAATAGAGGTCATTGTGGCGTTAGTAGTAGTAATAGTAGTATTCATCATAATAGTGTTATTTGGTCCATTGGATTCAGTGTTAAGGTTGGTAGGCTGGAGGCCACCATTTCCACTGTTGCTGCTTCCTAACACCTTGCTGCTTGCTGTACCATTATTCACCTCTGCATCTTCCATCATACTGCTGTTGTCTGGAGCTGCCATGCCACCCCAGCCCAGCACAGGGCCCTGTTGGGGAGCTATACCCAGTTTGGAACTCATCCCCTGAGCCTGTGGAGGCTGCTGGTCCTGGGAGACTGGGCTTGGATTCTGTGACGAGGCACCATGGTTGGCATTTGGATTTAAAGTGTTTGGGTTTAAACCCCCATTGATGCAGGGGGTGTTTCCGCCCATGTTGCTGCCTGACTGGGTGCCCCATACACCACTGTTATTGACAAGCTTGCTGTTGTGGTTACCTGTGTTATTGCTGCCAATAATGCCGGACCCAGCCACAGAGTAGTG